TAAGTTTGAGAGTTCGCAAGGTTAATGCTGTATGGAATGAAACTCTGGCTGAATCTGGATGTTCTGCTTCGGATACCACGAAGTATCTCTGAAACAATGACACAACAGGGCACAAAGGGTCACCTGCTCCATAGTATAGAGCAGTGATGGCAAACCTTTTAGAAACTGAGTGCCCAAAAACTAGCCCCGGCCCCACCCCGCCTGCTCGCAGGACCACTCACCACCTCCAGGGCCCGTGGCAGATCGCCCAGGCAGCCCAGCAGCGCCATGGCGGCCACGCCCTCTGTCCGCGCCCCACACCATCAACTGTGCACGATGGGGTGTGAGGGCAGAGTCTTGTCTACGCTGCCTGGCTGCCATGTCCTTGGCTGCACTGCTCCATGTGGGCCAGGCTCGAGGACGACTCTCCTTCAGGGGGGCTGCTGGAGAGAAGGGGGTCATGGGGGGAGGCAAGGCTGGGGCAACGGCACGTGTGCCCACAGAGAGGGCTCCGAGTGCTGCCTCTGGCATGTGTGCCATAGGTTCGCCACCACTGGTGTAGAGCTGTGGAAGAAGAAATAACATTGCAACAAGGCCACTGAATTTATTTTTCCATTCTTATTTGGGGATTCTTCCCTTCCCTTTTGTTTTGTAATTGCAGAAAGTGGATGTCACTAGTAGGGCTGTGATGGAAATAATGACGAAGACAATTGAATATCTTCAACCCAATCCAGGTATTTTTACTTCAGTTTGAATCAGAGAATATTTGAATTTATAGGGCATTTCAGAGAGGTTACAAAGACTGTGTTACAAAGATCTTGACTCATTTCTCACACACACACACACACACACACACACACACACACACACACACACACACACATACAAACACAAAGATATATGCAGAATGCAGTATAGAGGTCTTGCATAGGTTTGGCCTGGTCTCCTGCTTGAGTTTTCTAAATTCTAATTTGCCATTTTCTTCTGTTTCCATCTCATAACAAAATACTTGACAAAGGAAAGGAATGATATCTCTTTCTTGAAGGAAGATAACTGTCACTGCATTTAAAAGATTTTCTGTTAAGAATGAGATTGCATAACTTTAAGTGCACAGTTTAACTCTTGTCTTTTTCACATTTGTCAAAATTGCAGTATTCAGGATAGTTTTCAAGTTTAAGCCGTGACAACCATGTTGGATGCACAGGAAGTTGTCCTACTCTGTGTTTTACTTTTGTTTTGCCCCAAAGCTGAATTATAGTGCTATTCCCCCCATCCTTGAATCCACATAAAATAATGTTAGTGGGAAATTTGCTCTCTTCATGGCTAATTCCAATTCCATTTCTGTTGCCTCTGTTCCCAGTCACTACCATCATTAATTTCTATCTGTTAAATAAATTTTATATACCTTGAGGTTACCCTAGAATAATGTGGGAAAGGGAAAAAAATACTACTTTAACCGGTAGAACTAAGGACAAGTTAAGCTTGTCATGGTCTAGGGATGTAGGGAAGGCAGCACCATAGCAACATGACAAGAGAAATAAAATCCTGTTGCCAGAGTATGTTTAGATTGTCATTACCTGCAACAGGTATATGACCTCAGTAATATGGATGTACTAAGTAATGTTTAAGGTCAGCCTGGACAAAATAGCAAACAAATGTTTCTCAGTGAGTTCCCGAATGAAAAACTCATGCAGGCAAAATTAGTCAAGAAAAAGTTGGGTTAGGAAACTACCCTGTGAAGTAATAAAACTTTGGCGTCTTCTTATGGTTCTTCCAGTTTTCCAAATCAGGAGTTGCACCCAGTGCATTACAGAGGAGAACATCAGAAACATCAGTCTCATTCGCTGTTTATATCTGAAGGCCTTTATCCTGAAACACAAGTAGCTGAAAAGCAAACCATAATAGATGATACAGTCATATTGCATTTGTTTGTTCAATGACGGCTATCTAAGATCCCTGCTTCCTGATTCAATAAGCACGATGACATGGACAGACATTTCTTTCTTTAGTTTCTTCCTTCTGGAAAAAAAAGGAAAGAAATCTTTTTCACTTAGGTTTCTCTTAAGCATGTCAGTATTTTGACTTATTACAATCGTGTCCACATATGGGTGTCCTTGTTATGATGTCCCAAGAAGCTTGCCCCAATGATTTCCAAATATGATAAATTTTATATTTATCCTTTTTAAGGAAGGCTAACCCCACACTCATGTATCAGGTGGCCAAATTTCTTCACCAAGTTACACAACTGTGCAAAACTTTTAATTAGATAAGTCATTTTATTATACTATTGTTTTTTCCCTTTTTCCCAGTAACAAATTGCTCTATCAAACTATCTGTCTTTTTTATTGTAAAGGCTGATCAAAGACCATAATATAGAATCATAAGGCTGGAAGGGACCTTGGAGGTCTTCTAGTCCCACCTCCTGCCCATAGCAGGAGACTTTATTCCATCCTGGACAAATGGTTGTTCAATCTTTTCTTGAAAACCTCCAGCGATGCAGCACCCACGAGTCCAGGCAAGCTGTTCCATTGATTAATTGTTCTCCCTGTCAGGAAATTTGTTCTTAGTTCCCACTTTTCTCCTGGAAATCCCTATTCCACACATTGTCCTGTCCCAGTCTTCAACAAGAAATTGTGAGAACTGCAGTTTGCTGCAAGATGGGGAGGGAGAAATAAACTCTTCCTTTATAATCAGAACTCTGTTCACTGACATTGTTCATCTTCAACCCTCAAATCCCATTTAACGGCAAAGGGGTGATGAAAAATATAGTTTAACATAGGTAAAGGATAGTAGAAAGGTTTTAGAAGGCAAACCATTCTCTGCCTGACAACAGCTCTTCATATTCTCATGAGGTTGGCGACAATATCCAGAAGCTTCTGCATACAAAATCTGCTTTAGCATTAATCTCTCCAGGTTTATCACCGTATTGTTATTCTGTGATAGGAGATTTCAACTCATTCTGTTTCCCTGGTAGATATATGCATGAGATAGTTTTGAAATTCAATACTATCTCTGATGGGAAAGATAAAATCTTGTAAAATGATCAGGAATGGTTATGGAGCTTCCATAGCCATATTCTGGGCATGGGGGAAGAGGGGAGACAGTGGTAACACCATGGTTGTTTTCAGGGGTGGGATTCAAATACCTTAATATCCGGTTCTCTGCGTGGATGCAGGCCTGGGCCTCCAAGGCCTCCAATGGACTTCCGGAAGTGACATCAATGCACTTCCAGCGGGCTGTTCTAGGCCTGGGAGGTGTCCACCAGGCCTAGAACGGACTTCTGGAAGTGACATCAACACACTTCTGGCGAACCATTCTAGGCCTGGGAGGCGTCCACCAGACCTCCGAGGCCTAGAACGGACTTCCAGAAGCAGCATGGGTTCAGCCGGTTCTCCGAACTCAACAAAATTTAGCTACCGGCTCTACCAAACTGGTGCGAACTGGCTGAATCCCACCACTGGTTGTTTTCATCAACTTTTCTTTCAGTGAATATTTTCAAGTTACCACCATTATGAAAGAGCTAATCCAGTTCTGGGTCTGAACACTAGTGTCATGCCTATCTAGAAAGAAACTAAATTTCCCCATGGCTTAAGAATGTTTTTGTGATATCTTTATTTTATGTGAGTTTTTATGTCATTTACAGGCACGATTCAGTTTCCCATCTGCCCAGTTTATTGTCTCTGCTGATTAGTTTCCTCTCTGCTTGTAGCCTCCAGAGCCAAACTCAGCATGCTCAACACCATGTCTAAAATTAGAGGCCAAGAAAAAGGACCTGGGTATCCTCAAGCGGAGGCCCTGCTTGCAGATGCAATGCAAAAATTTGGGAAAGAACTCGGAGATGAGTGCAATTTTGGTAATGTTAGCTTTATCGTGTTTCATCTTTTAAAAACTTTTATTGGCTTATGCCAATATCAGGTCTCAGATACAGGAAGCCTAACTGGGATATTCATTTCCCTGCTTTGGTATGCTAGAAGTTTCTCTTGTTTGCAATCCAGTGTATTGGGATTAAAGCATGTCGCTAAACACCCAATTCAAAGATAGTGATTATATTTGCTTTTCATATTTGTCCAATAACTTTTGGGGAATTTTTTAATTAAGTCTACGCAAGAGGCATGTGCAGAATTTATCAACTAGAAATGGAACATTCTAAATCTCCTCCTGCCACGTGCTAGCCTTTGTCCAAGGGAGACCACTGTGCCTCAGATAGACGGCGTGGAGTCACTCTTTGTGAAGTGGGGGCAAGGGGTGCAAGTGGGCTTGTTGATTATATACCTGGCTCCCTGCTATGTATCAACAGCCCTGCCTGAGCTGGCTGACGTGATAGCCGGGGTGGCGGTGGGGACCCCCAGACTTATGGTCTTGGGGGATTNTAAGTTTGAGAGTTCGCAAGGTTAATGCTGTATGGAATGAAACTCTGGCTGAATCTGGATGTTCTGCTTCGGATACCACGAAGTATCTCTGAAACAATGACACAACAGGGCACAAAGGGTCACCTGCTCCATAGTATAGAGCAGTGATGGCAAACCTTTTAGAAACTGAGTGCCCAAAAACTAGCCCCGGCCCCACCCCACCTGCTCGCAGGACCACTCACCACCTCCAGGGCCCGTGGCAGATCGCCCAGGCAGCCCAGCAGCGCCATGGCGGCCACGCCCTCTGTCCGCGCCCCGCAGCATCAACTGTGCACGATGGGGTGTGAGGGCAGAGTCTTGTCTACGCTGCCTGGCTGCCATGTCCTTGGCTGCGCTGTTCCGTGTGGGCCAGGCTCGAGGACGACTCTCCTTCAGGGGGGCTGCTGGAGAGGAGGGGGTCATGGGGGAGGCAAGGCTGGGGCAACGGCACGTGTGCCCACAGAGAGGGCTCCGAGTGCCGCCTCTGGCACGTGTGCCATAGGTTCGCAACCACTGATATAGAGCTGTGGAAGAAGAAATAACATTGCAACATTGCACTGAATTCATTTTCCCATTCTTATTTGGGGATTCTTCCCTTCCCTTTTGTTTTGTAATTGCAGAAAGTGGATGTCACTAGTAGGGCTGTGATGGAAATAATGACGAAGACAATTGAATATCTTCAACCCAATCCAGGTATTTTGACTTCAGTTTGAATCAGAGAATATTTGAATTTATAGGGCATTTCAGAGAGGTTACAAAGACTGTGTTACAAAGATCTTGACTCATTTCTCTCTCTCTCTCTCTCACACACACACACACACACAAACACAAAGATATATGCAGAATGCAGTATAGAGGTCTTGCATAGGTTTGGCCTGGTCTCCTGCTTGAGTTTTCTAAATTCTAATTTGCCATTTTCTTCTGTTTCCATCTCATAACAAAATACTTGACAAAGGAAAGGAATGATATCTCTTTCTTGAAGGAAGATAACTGTCACTGCATTTAAAAGATTTTCTGTTAAGAATGAGATTGCATAACTTTAAGTGCACAGTTTAACTCTTGTCTTTTTCACATTTGTCGAAATTGCAGTATTCAGGATAGTTTTCAAGTTTAAGCCGTGACAACCATGTTGGATGCACAGGAAGTTGTCCTACTCTGTGTTTTACTTTTGTTTTGCCCCAAAGCTGAATTATAGTGCTATTCCCCCCATCCTTGAATCCACATAAAATAATGTTAGTGGGAAATTTGCTCTCTTCATGGCTAATTCCAATTCCATTTCTGTTGCCTCTGTTCCCAGTCACTACCATCATCAATTTCTATCTGTTAAATAAATTTTATATACCTTGAGGTTACCCTAGGATAATGTGGGAAAAGGAAAAAAATACTACTTTAACCGGTAGAACTAAGGACAACTTAAGCTTGTCATGGTCTAGGGATGTAGGGAAGGCAGCACCATAGCAACATGACAAGAGAAATAAAATCCTGTTGCCAGAGTATGTTTAGATTGTCATTACCTGCAACAGGTATATGACCTCAGTAATATGGATGTACTAAGTAATGTTTAAGGTCAGCCTGGACAAAATAGCAAACAAATGTTTCTCAGTGAGTTCCCGAATGAAAAACTCATGCAGGCAAAATTAGTCAAGAAAAAGTTGGGTTAGGAAACTACCCTGTGAAGTAATAAAACTTTGGAGTCTTCTTATGGTTCTTCCCGTTTTCCAAATCAGGAGTTGCACCCAGTGCATTACAGAGGAGAACATCAGAAACATCAGTCTCATTCGCTGTTTATATCTGAAGGCCTTTATCCTGAAACACAAGTAGCTGAAAAGCAAACCATAATAGATGATACAGTCATATTGCATTTGTTTGTTCAATGACGGCTAGCTAAGATCCCTGCTTCCTGATTCAATAAGCACGATGACATGGACAGACGTTTCTTTCTTTAGTTTCTTCCTTCTGGGAAAAAAAGGAAAGAAATCTTTTTCACTTAGGTTTCTCTTAAGCGTGTCAATATTTTGACTTATTACAATCGTGTCCACATATGGGTGTCCTTGTTATGATGTCCCAAGAAGCTTGCCCCAATGATTTCCAAATATGAGGGCCACACTGATAAATTTTATATTTATCCTTTTTAAGGAAGGCTAACCCCACACTCATGTATCAGGTGGCCAAATTTCTTCACCAAGTTACACAACTGTGCAAAACTTTTAATTAGATAAGTCATTTTATTGTACTACTGTTTTTTCCCTTTTCCCAGTAACAAATTGCTCTACCAAACTATCTGTCTTTTTTATTGTAAAGGCTGATCAAAGACCATAATATAGAATCATAAGGCTGGAAGGGACCTTGGAGGTCTTCTAGTCCCACCTCCTGCCCATAGCAGGAGACTTTATTCCATCCTGGACAAATGGTTGTTCAATCTTTTCTTGAAAACCTCCAGCAATGCAGCACCCATGAGTCCAGGCAAGCTGTTCCATTGATTAATTGTTCTCCCTGTCAGGAAATTTGTTCTTAGTTCCCACTTTTCTCCTGGAAATCCCTATTCCACACATTGTCCTGTCCCAGTCTTCAACAAGAAATTGTGAGAACTGCAGTTTGCTGCAAGATGGGGAGGGAGAAATAAACTCTTCCTTTATAATCAGAACTCTGTTCACTGACATTGTTCATCTTCAACCCTCAAATCCCATTTAACGGCAAAGGGGTGATGAAAAATATAGTTTAACATAGGTAAAGGATAGTAGAAAGGTTTTAGAAGGCAAACCATTCTCTGCCTGACAACAGCTCTTCATATTCTCATGAGGTTGGCGACAATATCCAGAAGCTTCTGCATACAAAATCTGCTTTAGCACTAATCTCTCCAAGTTTATCATCGTATTGTTATTCTGTGATAAGAGATTTCAACTCATTCTGTTTCCCTGGTAGATATTCGCATGAGATAGTTTTGAAATTCAATACTATCTCTGATGGGAAAAATAAAATTTTGTAAAATGATCAGGAATGGTTATGGAGCTTCCATAGCTCTATTCTGGGCATGGGGGAAGAGGGGAGAAAGTGGTAACACCATGGTTGTTTTCAGGGGTGGGATTCAAATATCTTAACATCCGGTTCTCTGCATGGATGCAGGCCTGGGCCTCCAAGGCCTCCAATGGACTTCCGGAAGTGACATCAATGCACTTCCGGCGGGCTGTTCTAGGTCTGGGAGGCCTCCTCCAGGCCTCCGAGGCCTAGAACAGACTTCTGGAAGTGACATCAATGCACTTCCAGCGGGCTGTTCTAGGCCTGGGAGGTGTCCACCAGGCCTAGAACGGACTTCTGGAAGTGACATCAACACACTTCTGGCGAACCATTCTAGGCCTGGGAGGCGTCCACCAGGCCTCCGAGGCCTAGAACGGACTTCCAGAAGCAGCATGGGTTCAGCCGGTTCTCCGAACTCAACAAAATTTAGCTACCGGTTCTACCAAACTGGTGCGAACTGGCTGAATCCCCACTGGTTGTTTTCATCAACTTTTCTTTCAGTGAATATTTTCAAGTTACCACCATTATGAAAGAGCTAATCCAGTTCTGGGTCTGAACACTAGTGTCATGCCTATCTAGAAAGAAACTAAATTTCCCCATGGCTTAAGAATGTTTTTGTGATATCTTTCTTTTATGTGAGTTTTTATGTCATTTACAGGCACGATTCAGTTTCCCATCTGCCCAGTTTATTGTCTCTGCTGATTAGTTTCCTCTCTGCTTGTAGCCTCCAGAGCCAAACTCAGCATGCTCAACACCATGTCTAAAATTAGAGGCCAAGAAAAAGGACCTGGGTATCCTCAAGCGGAGGCCCTGCTTGCAGATGCAATGCAAAAATTTGGGAAAGAACTCGGAGATGAGTGCAATTTTGGTAATGTTAGCTTTATCGTGTTTCATCTTTTAAAAACTTTTATTGGATTATGCCAATATCAGGTCTCAGATACAGGAAGCCTAACTGGGATATTCATTTCCCTGCTTTGGTATGCTAGAAGTTTCTCTTGTTTGCAATCCAGTGTATTGGGATTAAAGCATGTCGCTAAACACCCAATTCAAAGATAGTGATTATATTTGCTTTTCATATTTGTCCAATAACTTTTGGGGAATTTTTTAATTAAGTCTACGCAAGAGGCATGTGCAGAATTTATCAACTAGAAATGGAACATTCTAAATCTCCTCCTGCCACGTGCTACCTCGGGGGCAATTCATCAGTTTTAAAAGTAAATTCTCTAAACCAGAAGCTGTTCGTAGTATTCTAGGTGAAACAGACCAATCCCAGAACATTTAGTTCACTGATCAGAATTTTTGTACTTCCTAATTCACTGCTGAATAGTTTGGAGCAAATGTAAGCTCTGAATATGAGGAGGGACATTATTCTATTTATTAAATCTTGGAGGGCTATGTCCACTGGTCTGATAATGTCACTGAGGACGGGGAACAAACTTGGCAGGGTTTTTGTTTTTTGTTTTTTTTGGGAGGTGGGGATTGTAGGCATTTAAAAAGCGGAAGGGATTAAAAAAAACACCTTGGATCAATTTAAAATAAAAGCGTTTCGTTTTTTTCGTTTTTTAGGCCCAGCTTTAGGCGATGTTGGAGAAGCGATGAGGGACTTGTCTGAGGTGAAAGATGCTTTGGATATTAATGTGAAGCAGAATTTCATCGATCCGTTGCAAAATCTCCATGACAAAGATCTGCGGGAAATACAGGTATTGCCACGAATAGAATTTTGTTATGTAATTAGCTGGACATTACAGCAGGGACAGATCTATTGTGATAGCGGAGATTGTACGGTTTCTGAACTGGCAGGCCCCAAAACCCAGACCCTCAGCCTTGCCAGAGCTCAGTTGAAACCTGTTGTTCTCCATCCAGGCCCTCATAGCCTCAAGGCGCTGGGGAAAGGCATCAACAGCATTGCTTAATTTGCCAGGAACAGAAAAGTATAATTGGATATCGTCAGCATAGTGATGATATCTCACCCTAAAGTGACAGATGAGCTCACCCAGCAGCTTCATGCAGATGTTAAAGAGGAGTGGAAAGAGCACCGAAATGTATAACTTCCTGTTCAAAATGATTTCTTAATTCATCACTTCTATTCCATTAAAAAATGAAATCACAATGCATGCCTAGTGATAAAGCTGAAAATTGGAACAATGGAAACTGTCATTAATATATATTTATTGCAGTGTTTATTTTTAAAAAACTTTAAAGAGTAGGGGCTTGTATTTTCCATTAAAAAATCTTTAAAATAAAAATATTAGCATGAGATACCTCTGAGTGAATATGTCAGTCAACGTATATTAATAATATATATTATTACTGAATATTAAGTTGTTGGTTGAATCATGAACACTTTTGCTCTTGTATTTCAGTAAACAAATAAGTTTCTGACCTTGGATATTAAGGATTTAGCTTTTTATTCATTTGAACAGCATTTTCACCTAACACTTTCCTCCTGTCTTATCAGCTAGGCTTTATTTAAGCTACTCAACAAATTGTTTGTTTCTTACCTTAAAAGTATTACTTTCTACCATGTCCATTTTTTCTCAGTTATAAACACTTGGCAATTCTCACTCGTCCACAAATTGTTTTGAAAAGATACATTTGTTCTTGATTGGAAATAAATAGCACCATTCTTAATCATCATTACTAGCAAGCTTAGTTAAATTTGGTTTCATAAAAGCGTCAAACCTGGTGTAGTGGTTAAAGCACCGGGAGACTGTGAATTCTAGTCCTGCCTTAGGCACAAAGACAGCTGGGTTAACCTGGGTTAGTCACTCTTTCTTGGGCCTTGGGAAGAAGGCAATGGTCTCAACGACTTTTGAAAAGCCAGGATTGATTTGAAGGGGTTAAAAAAGAAGGTTCGTAAAGCTGTTGATCTTTCTCCACCCTTTTTCAGCACCATCTTAAAAAATTGGAGGGCAGACGCCTAGACTTTGATTACAAGAAGAAAAGGCAAGGCAAGATCCCCGATGAAGAACTCCGACAAGCTCTGGAGAAGTTTGATGAATCAAAAGAGATTGCTGAATCAAGCATGTTTAATCTGCTAGAGATGGATGTGAGCAAAACTCCCCCTACCCCGCACCCCCTTTTTTGTATTTTGGATAGAATTTTTTTTTTTATTAATAGAAATTCAAAACTCTATTAAAGAACAGAGGTTGAGAAACACTGTATTACGTAATAGATGAAATGTGGTTTTCCGGCTAGGAAAGTGGGTTTGTGTTTTGGAATTCCAAGGGCGAGATTTGCAAACATGCTTTGAGGTGAAATTGGCACTGTCGGTAAAGTATTTTACTTGCTATCCATTTTCATGTGAATGACATTTTGGAGGAAGAACTTCGGAATAATCCTAGACACTGTTGGGACTGAACCAGAACCCCACGGATAACAGCACGAATTCTAACTCCCCTATGAATTATTGGGAATAGTCTTGATATTCCACAGTTACTTGGTTTCAGGTCTAAAAATACTTACAATGAAAATAATGGTGACGTGCCTCAAAAATTCCTCAGGATGGACAAATTATTGTTATACCCCTTCAGCTTCATGTGTGCGAATAAGTCAAGGTTTAAATAAATTGAATTTATACAATATCTGAACAGGCTGGAAGAAAATTCAATTAATTATAAAGCAGGATCACAGTTATTTCTTGTTCTCCACTGAAACTGAATATATAGAATTCAATCAAGCTAACAAATTCCAGTCTGGTCAGGCTAAATCCATGCCAATGTGGAGTTTCACATGTTTTTTGGAAAAAGAATGACAACTATCCCCATAAGACACTTCCAATTTTATCCCAGCTGAAACCCAGAACAATGAAAATATTCTGGGCATTGATTCAGCCAGACCATAATTCTACAGTTTACTTGTGTGGAAAATAAACCCTTTTTACAGATAGTCCTCGACTTACAAGCACAATTGGGACCAGAATTTCCATTGCTGAGCAAGCTGGCTGTTAAGTGAGTTGCGCCCGATTTTATGACCTTTTTGCCACCACGGTTGTTAAGTGAATCACGCAGTTGTTAAACAAATCTGGCTTCCCTCCTCTACATGTCGGGAGCTGGTTGGGAAGGTCACAGACGATGATCATGTGACCCTGGGATGCTGTAACCATTGTAAACACATGCGGGTTGCCAAGCGCCAGAATTTTGATCATGTGACCATAGGGATGCTGCTACAGTCATAAGTGTGAGGACTGGTTGTAAGTAATTTTTTTCAGTGTAATTGTAACTTTGAATGATCGCTAAAGGAATGGCTGTAAGTTGAGAACTATCCATACTCTGAAGTGGAAACATGTTTTCCCTCTAACGCAGGGGTAGGCAACCTTGGCTCTTTTATGACTCATGGACTTCAACTCCCAGCTATGCTGACTCAGGAATTCTGGGAGTTGAAGTCCATGAGTCATAAAAGAGCCGAGGTTGCCTACCCCTGCTCTAATGGCTCTATTTGTGTTCACCACCATTGTTCCAAGTATCATACTTGTAGCATTACTCTGAAGAATTAGTTGCTTTAACGATAATGGTATTATAACATTCTGAGATGCAGCCTCAGTCAAGGACATGTTCAGGAGTAATCTAAAGCAGGGCTATCCAGTTTGGGCAACTTTTAAGACCTGTGGACTTCAACTTCCTGTGTTCATGCTGGCTGGGGAATTCTGGGAGTGGGAGTCCTCAAATCTTAAAAGATGCCAGGGTTGGACACCCCGGATCTAAAGACTTCTTCAGTCTTGATTTGGAGAAACATTCTAGGGGGGAGGGACTCCCACATGCCAAGTAGATCATGCATCTGAATTGGTAAGAGGAACTGAATAGGTCATCCATTAGGAAAGTTTTCTTTGTTAATATTTAGTGATTTCGATTAAGTATAATGAATTGTTTTTATTTGCATGTGAACAGCAATAAGTGTTAGTCTTGCACAGTCAAGCTTCTTTTTTTTTAAAAAAAAATCTAGACTTGCCACAGTATATGCTTGCATATCCAATTTCTTTTCTAGATAAGGCATAATTAATCTGCATTAAGTGCTTTTGTATACGCAGACTGGCTTATGAACATAAGTAGCTTGTTATTTAAAGCAAAGTCCATCTATATTTTACTTTAGAAGCTGTTTAACTTTTAGGTGGCCCTCCAGAAAATGCCCAGTAGGAAGCATCTGAACATTGGCTATCCTTTTTGATAGTCTTAGTTTTCCCTATTCACTGCTTTTTCAGAGAACTGAATTTGCTACACAACAGTGTTGTAATAAGTCTCTCTCTCTCTCTCTCTCTCTCTCTCTCTCTCTCTCTCTCTCTCTCTCTCTCTCTCTCTCTCTCTCTCTCTCTCTCTCTCTCTCTCTCTCTCCTTCCCTCCCCCCTTCCTCTTGAGGGTGTATAGACGGGACAACCATTTGACTGAGATAGTAAACTGGGATATATTGCTTTGAGCAGAGGGTTGGATTAGAAGACCTCTGAAGTCCCTTCCAGCCCTGTGATTTTTATGTTCTATGTTCTTTGCAGGTTGAACAAGTGAGCCAGCTTTGTGCGCTAGTACAAGCCCAGGTGGAGTACCACAGGCAAGCCACAGAGATCCTGCAACAAGTTAGTCTCAAGCTGGAAGAAAGGTAGCAAAAATTGAACAGAATTATTTGGGCACGTGTTTTTGAAATCGGGCCTGAAAACCCGAGATGAAATTACACCGAGATATGGCTGTGTTGTCTTTTCGACAGGGAAGCAACGTTTCGTGGGTTATAGGGTAAAAAATACATGGATACATTTAATTCTGTTTTAGGGCTGGAACACGATACACGTTGCAGCAACTATTCCAGCAAAAATACCTTCCCCCAGTGCTCCGTTGTTCCAACTCACAATTTGCTGCCTCTTACATATGCATTTTCTAGAGTGCTTGCTTTTAGAAATAGGTAAAACATTCCATCCTTAGGACTATGGACACACCCGCTATCCTTGCGCTAGACTTCCCTACCCTTCCCAAAATGTGTTTGGACCTATATTCTATGCAGGAGTCTCATACTGGGAGGCAGCAGACCTATTTTTGTCTTGGATTAGTATTGACTATAGAGACTTCTTTCATTATTATTTTATGAAAATGAGAGAGTAGGGTGCCATCAATTCTTTATTTCCTGTCAAGAAGTAGAATTTTATTTTATTTTTAGCTATATTGTCTGGCAGGTCTTAAGAGATAATAAAATACTTTATTTTTTTTAATAGTAATTTTATTATTATTATTATAAAATGAGCCCTGAAGGTGCAGTGGTTAGAAAGCAGTATTGCAGGTAAACTCTGCCCATGGCCTGGAGTTCAATCCTGATGAGACTCAAGTTTGATTCAGCCTTCATTCCGAGGTTGGTAAAATGAGGACCCAGATTGTTGGCGGCAATATGCTGACATTGTAAACAGCCCAGACAGTGCTGTAAAGTCTAGGTACTATTGCTACCACTATTAAAGATTACCATTTACAACAATAAAAACAACACAAACTAGGGAGAAAAAAGAAAAAAAATATAAAGGGCAGAAAAAAGAGGAAACAAAGAGAGAAGAAAGAAAAATAAGAATATAATAAAGGAAAAAAAGAGAAATATATAAAGAAGTAACTTCCCCTTTCATCAAACAAGTATATAAGCAATTTTAGTAACTTACAAACTACACAAAACCTTGTCATTTCAGTCCTGATGTCAGCAAAAGTCCATGAAGAGTTACCAGAAATATTAACAAATTTTTTTTTAATGTTGATCAGATAGACCAGGCATGTCAAACTCGTGATGTCACGCGACATATCGGAGCTTTTTTGCCATTGCCGCAATGGGGTGGGGGCGGCTCCGGTATGATGAAACCGGCCCGCGGGCCGGCAGTTTGACACCCCTGAGATAGACCAACTTTATATTCTTCCCTTTTACTTCTAACAATCTTGATTTTCAGTCTCTTCAAATAATATCTTAGAACTTGATTTCTTTTCATTTTTTCCTGTGTCTTTCTCACACAATTCTCACATTTGAAAATACGGGTAGTCCTCGACTTACAATAGTTCATTTAGTGACTGTTTGAAGTTACAACAGTGCTGAAAAAAGTAACTTGTGACTATTTTTCGCACTTATAACCATTACAGCATCCCCATGTTCACATGATTTACATTCAGATGCTTGACAACTGACTCACATTTGTGATGGTTGCAGCGTCCTGGGCTCATGTGATCTCCTTTAGTGACCTTCTGACAGGCAAACTCAATGGGGAAGCCAGATTCACTCAACAACGGTGTTACTAACTTAAGAACTGCAGTGATTCACTTAACATGTGTGGCGAGAAAAGTCGTAAAATGGGGCAAAACTCGCTTAACCAATTTCTCACTTAGCAACATAAATTTTGGGCATGTGCTCGTAAGTTGAGGACTATCTGTATTTTCTATCTAGAAACAATATCTCAGAACTAATAATGTCTCAGAGAACCTTAGGGACTCCACGTTTTTTCCCAGACTGATGAAACATTCCCAACACATGACTGCCAGCACTTTTCGTTTTTTTCTTGCTCACTGATTTTGCCCATTCTTTCTGGATTTATTCTGCTGCTCCTTTTCTTGCAGTTGGACTCAAGTGAGGTAAATGCAATTAGGCCTTCAAAGCTCCATTTTCCAAGTTCTTAAAAGGAAAGGAAATGATTCATTCCAATATGAAGCAAATAGGTTTCACCTGTCTTTTTTCACTGTCTAGCGAGTTTGCTTGGTTGGTTATTTTTTTGGATGGATTTTAAATCCTTCTTCCATTCCATACAGTCATGATGTTATATTTCCCCTTAATCCTGATTATAATGATTTGTATTGAGATCTGTCCTTTTTATGAGTTATTTTCTGATAATTTCTTGAGGGATTTTGTTAACCGTTTTAGACTATTTTGAAGGATCTTGTCTGGCATGGTGAAGGGGTTCAGGAATATATATAGGCAGGTTAAGGGGTTTTTCAGGGCACGTACAGGAATTTATAGACATCGTCTTGAAATAATTACAAAAAAAGAACTTTCTAACTTTATTTTGCAGGGTTTTACATGGATAGAACCGTAAAATTTAAAATCTTATGTTCCTATCCTAAGCCTACCTAGACTTTAATTATCATTTATCACAGTTTAAAGACATGTACAAGTCTGTTGTTTAGTTAAATTATCATAGATAATATAACTTGATAATTTAACTTGATAATAGTTAAATTATCAAGGCAGCTTCAACAATATATATTTGCCTATGTGCTTCCAATCAGCCATAGACTTTCTATATCAGAAAAAGCTGCTCCTGACATTAACCACAATGGACAGATCCATTCTATTGGATTCCATCAAAACATATGTCAGGAAATTCAGTGAGTTAGGAATCTGTATAACCTCTGCCCTAATGAAAATGGGAAATGTTATTTCTAATTGCAGAGCATGAGAGCTCTGCAAAAACTCAGGATTCTGTTTAAAGAAAACAGATTTGTAACAATCAGACCTTCAATAGAGAGTAAATCCTATAGCTATAAAACTTCAAATACAAGGCATCTTGAAACATCTCCTGCATGCAAGGCCTTGGAGTCAGGGCCAAAAACTGATGTTAGGGATAATCCTAAGGAAAGTGATTAGGACACTTGTTTCTGGACCAGAGTAAAACAAACAAACAGGAAAAATCCCCTTGCCAAAGACCATTAAAATAGGATTAGGGATAGGAATAGAGTTAGGGTTAGATTAGGTCTCCTTGGAATCAGGGCTGAAAACTGATGTTATGGATAGATTCTTATAGGTTCCCAAAGATAAAGTGACAACTTTTTGTTAGGATTTCTTTCTGGACCAGAGTAACATATATGGGAAAATCCCATTGGCAATGAAAATGAAACTAGGCTTAGAGTTATGGTTATGGTTAAGGTTAGGTCTCTTTGGAGTCAGGCCCAATAATTGATATTAGGGATCGATTCTTCAAGGTTCACTAAGGAAAGAGAACCCGACAGCTTTTCATTTGGACTTATCTGTGGACTACAATAAAATACATGGGAAAATCCCATTGCCAATGAAAATGAAACTAGAGTTAAGGATGTCGCTGTCTTTAGAGAACTTCTAAGAATCTGTCCCTAGCATCACTTTTTGGCCCTGACTCCAAAGAGAGCTAACCCTAACCGTAACGCTGTCCTTAACCCTAACCCTAGTTTTAATTTTCATTGTCAGTGGATTTTCCCATGTATTTTACTGGGAAATCATAAACATTTCCTGTATAGAATCCCAAATTTCCAAATTTAACTGATGTTAATGTTAGGGATAGGGTTAGCTTTGGTTGTCCTTGGAGTCAGGGATGAAAACTGATGTTTGGGATAGATTCTTAGAGATTCTGTAGGGAAAATGATGGTGACATCTTTTCGTTCCAACTTTTTTGTGGACACAATGAAAAACATGGGAAAATCCCATTGCCAGTGAATATAAAACTATGGTTAGTGTTAGGTTTGTGTTTAGTGTTTGGGTTAGGATTAGGTCTTCCCTGGAGGAAGGCCCAAAAACTGAAGTTAGAGATAGATTCTTTGGGATTTTCTAAGGAAATCAACAGTGACATTTTTGGGAACCCCTTTTTCGATCACAATAAAATAAATGGGAAAATCCCATTGTCAAAGAATATTAAACCTGAAGGAATTGCAGTCAGGAAATTGCTGTGCTATCTTAAAATTTAATTATCTATGGTATTTTAAGAGTAAGGTAGCCGAAGTGTAGCCAGCTGAACAGTACAAATAAGAAAGTCTTACCCTTATATCTCAGATCCAGAATTTTTGGGTAGTCGGGAGATAAATATATTTGTAGGGCTGAGAAGTAAATAAAGTGAATAAAGTCCAATCTGATTCTATATAGGAAACGTTTATGACCCCGCCTCTTGTTTACCAGCACACAATGGTCTCAACAAACAACTCAATCAGCTTCAGTCCCAGCTTCCAAGGCATAGTATAATACCTCATTAATGTATTTCATTCATTCTTCATAGTTAAGGAGAACCTGTAAGATATCTTCCACATGCACTGAAATAAATTTAATATATAAGACTGGCATTCATATCAAATTCAAGGCATATATTGACCTGGTGAATAGATAGTTCAAAATAGAAGCCTAAACTAACTTGTCCTCTGTCAAAATGTCCAGGAGAATCTTTTGAATATGAATCAAATACTGACTTGACATATTTGTACAATTTATGCATTCTATTTTTGTGGCAGACCATTATGATATTCAATTTTAGGGCCAAAAGAATGACAATGGCTTTGTTCAATAATCAGGCAAGGTTTACACCATGTAGTAGGAGGTATACTTAATGCCATGTTTGTAGACTTGCTGGTTATGAAAATGCAAAAAAAAACAAAAACCCACCACTTTCCCTTGATTAGTCTTAGTGGATTAGAATTGCTTGGTTTCCAGTTACTAGTTCAAATTAGTAACTGCTCATTTTCTAACAGAATAAAAGAAACGTCAGTTCAGCCCAGAAGAGAATATCAGCCAAAGCCCCGTATGACCTTGGAATTATGTGACAATGGTCAACACAATGGAGGGCTCTCTAATGCTACTACTCCTAAGCCTTCAGGTAAGAATGGGAAAAGAGGAGATGAAAAAGAAATGTAAAAGAAAACTTCTGTACTTATTATGGCTTTGTTGGATCATGGTTCAGAGGAGGAGGAGTTGGATTTGGGACTGTCTGATGGGGGATGGCATGGTCTTTTCTGAACGAGTGTAGAGTCCAGGAAATGAGAACGAGGCAGTCCCAGGGCTGTCTGGCAGCAGACCGGATGAGTAGCAGCCTGCGGGAGCAGATCAGCTGCAGAGGGCCAGCAGAGATGACAAGCTCCAGACCTCCTCTGACAAGGCACAGCTGCCTCCCCTGCCGTTCCATGGATGAGGAGGCACAGAGGAGGTCAGTGAGGCTGCTCGCAAGGAAGCAGCCCTGCCCCCTCCTCACAAGGAACACCTGGGGAAGGGTGACTTAACCAGACACTGGGGGAAGGTGTATTTGTTGGGAACACTTGTTTGCTTTGATGTGCACTTTCCTGGCTTTCGTGAATACTGCCTAGTGACTCTCAGATCGTGTTTCTTGGCCCTTCGCTTGTGGACTTTGGACTTGGGTCTCTGATTTCAGACTCTTGGACCATGCCTTGGTTTTTGGAATTCTGGACATGTGTTGTGAACTTGGTACTTAGGTGGGGTTGTTACTTCCCTCTTTGCCTCATGGGTTGGCCACGTGGAACCGGGGTTTTCAGACCAAGGGAAAACTGAAAGCTGAGGGCGGAGCTTCACTGGCACCATTGATGGGTCATTTGACACTGTGTTAAGTGTGCAGTAACCACTGCCTTGCCAGTGTGACTTGGGTCAGAACAGTTCTCTTCCTTCCTGATCCTGGGGTCCTTGAGATACTGGGGCGGGATTAAATTATTTTGAAATATCAGATAAAATCCATGAGATCCACAAAAACCATCTGAGGATAGATGATCAGTTATACAGAGATACATTTCCTTTGTTCCTTCCTTTCATAGAATGTCTTGTATCAAAGGAAAGCCATCTAGGTAGGAGTTACTTGATTGATACCAAAAAGCTAAGCAAGATTTAATATTGAGATGATATTACCTGGCCAAATGGATGCAAGAAAGGAGAGTTAAGGTGGATTTAGTTGTATTTCAAGAATTTAAGGAGGAGCTAACTTTAATTCCAAGGAGATTTTTCTATTAAAAAAGTAATACTCTATGAAAGGATTATAGCATTTTAAAGTCTGGATAGCTATTAGACACTCATTAACATTTCATTCTTGTGTAAATAGCGTTTGTTGTAGCAGTATCTCATTTTGAATTCCATCCAGTCATTTGTAAAGGTATACAAATTGCACTGTGATCCACATGGGCTGAGAGAATACAATTAACTGCTACATCATAGACCAGTATTGTGATATCGTTCAAATAATATTATAACATAATGTAATAATAACATAACACAGTATAAAACATACCATTTTAAGGTAAGTATTGTAATCATTTATAACAAAGTTAGGTATAAAACAAAGTTCAAAAACAAAGCTTTTAATACGTATTTTTTTCAATAGCACATATTCAGGGCTTAAAATTATTATATAATCTATCTATATAAATAAAAATGTAAATGTTCGTTTGTTCAAATTCTTAAATCTCCGAAAGTTCTTCACCGATTGCTTTGAAATTTTGACACAACGTTGCATTCGAATACGCGCGTGTTTTTATATACCTACTATTATATAGATGTCACACCTGTGACAGGTAGAGAGAGAGAGAGAGAGAGAGAGAGAAAGAAGAAAGGAAGCGATGTTTAAAAGAAATCAGGCAGTCTCGCCACCCTGTGTCTCAATTTTAGCAGAATATGTGCAGGGGGGACAAGCATTGTGAAATTAAACATATTAGAAACGTGCGCTTTCTCTTTTCTTTCTTTTCCATTTAACCAGACTGAGCCACAGCAACACGTGGCCGGGTACAGCTAGTAAGATATAAAAATAAGAAATAATAAAATATCTGGAAGAATGAACTCTTCCCCTAGTGCTGATGTAAGCATAAACCAGCCATTTAACATTCAACAATCATAGGTACCTAATCATGACGACTCTATTACCTGTTGTATTTAGTACCCGTTCACTGTGCAGTGCTGTGTCTTGTAGCTGCCTTTAGTAAGCCCCGTGTTTCTCTGTTTTATCTTTTTTTCTTTCCACCCAGGTGGCGCTGCTATGGATCAGCCATGTTGTCGAGCTCTGTATGACTTTGACCCTGAAAATGAAGGGGAACTCGGTTTTAAAGAAGGCGATGTCATCACCCTCACTAACCAGATTGATGATAACTGGTATGAAGGGATGCTTCATGGGCAGTCCGGCTTCTTCCCCATCAATTATGTGGAAATTCTTGTTCCTTTGCCTCATTAGGGTGGCCCGTCCATCCTGTCGGAATTACTGTTTCTCCTAAAAAAAAAAAAAAAGTAATTTGTTGGTACCACTGCTTTTGAAAAATTAAGAAATCAATAAATGAAATGGCTGCTTATTCCACATCGCCAAGTACAAACGCATCGGCCCCATAGATAATATTTGATTTTTGTGTCACCCTGCTGCAGAGTGTGATACTTTCTTAAGGCATTGCAGCTGGACACGCGGGATGTTCAGGTTATTCCTTTGGTTGCTACAGAGATGTCTATGCAGTGTTGGGGTGAGAGAGTGTGGCAATTAATGGTGTAACTCAAGTTTTAACCTTGTGGAAAGAAAGCAGATGGGTTATTGGGAAAGATAAAGCATATCACCATTCTATCATTATTTTCTTCTCTTTTTACAAAGAAGAGGGAGAAAAAAATGTCCGTGGGCATTCCATCTTTCCCTATCCAAACAGTGTGGTTCATGCAGGCCTAAGTATTGCTAACCGGCTTTTTTTCGTGTTGTCTTATCTCAGAAATGATTGAGTGCTGGGGAAACTGCGAAATGTATATTCCAGTTGCTTTACACATCAGCCACCACTGCTCTGTACTTGCTATATTCCAGGTGTGGCAGAAGATATCTAGGAATCTATTAGTAGATTTTTGTGTGGACGATTGTGTTGTAATTCACAATTGTTTAACACTTGCAACAACAAAATTCTGCCTAAAAGTTGCTGACATGAGGAGAATTGAGGGTACTTAGCTGTCATTTTAAAGTGGAAGGCTTAGTGTGGTCCTTGGTTTTTTTAAAATTCTAAATGTTAGCTCTTACCTGGCTCTGGTTGGTGAATTTGGGGTTCTAGTTAAAATAATAGTAATAATACTAAACTTTTTAGTCTGCCAGCCCCATTTTAGTTTGTTAATTCAAGAGCTGTTCAATATCCAGGTTACTTAAAGGCTTTTTAATAGCATCCAAAAGTTAAGGCAGGGAAGATTAACATTGGAGGATACCCTATGTGCTTGCTTAGAAAGCTTAAATATTAAAAGCACAATGCCAGCAGAAGTCAATCATACTTGGAGAAAACATTTTAAAAACAACGTTCAACTGTTTTACTTCGTGTAAAAAATCTAGGCACAAAAAGTATAATTTTAAAATGTCATGAGCCCTTTATTCTACATATTTACTAATAGTAGTAAGAAATGTACGCCATGTGGTTTTATTTTCATCTACCTTGTGTTCTTTGAACATCATTTGTGTATATTCTGCCCTCAGTGAGGACTAAATAATAACAGATTTTTGTTGTGCTTAAGAATTACAGTGACACATAGTTACCTACACAAACCCATTTCAATTATTTTTCTCTCCATGCTGTCCTCTATACAATTTATGTGCCACTTCCTCCAGTTGGGGTATAAGATGTTGTCTAGCTGGTTCATTGTTGTTTCATTTGAATTACCCAGAATTCTGTTTCTCTATATAAATCTGTATATAAACCTATCTGTGCTGCTTCAGATGTGCCACTTCAGTATTGGACCATGTGAAATGAAGGCAGTCCTTTTGCTTTTCATGTATAAACTATTACCACGAACAGTGTTGTTCTTTCAAATAAAAATGCTGATTGACAAGCCACAATGGTTATGTTTGCATTTTCTTCAGTAATATTTCCATTTCACAATACCAGGCGGCTGCAGTTTCCTATCCAAGATACAATAAGTAGTCTTTGGGTTATGAGGGCCATGGGGCCACCGGGACTGTCATTACTAAGTGATGTCCTAAAGCATGGTATCACGTGACCACACCAGTTAGCAATGACAATCCTGGCAGTCCTCATTGCCATCGTAAATCCCAAGAGGCAGGAAGGGCAGGCCTCCAGGTAAGCAGCATGGGGGGATGTTAATGGAAGGGGGGGCTGACAGTTGGGGAGGCCACAGGCACCAGTTGTACACAGATACAGGAAAGCTGGGGGATGGATGGCAGTTTTCTTTAATAAAGGAGAATATTTGTAGTTCAGGGTTGACATGAGGGGTCCTTGGTGCTCTCCGAGCTTGTTTTCTTGCAGACATTTCATTTCATTAGTCATTCATGACTAGCAGTGGTGGTGATGTTACCTAGTTTGGATAATGAAATGTCTGCAAGAAAACAAGCAAGCTCAGAGAGCACCAAGGACCCCACAAGTTTTCTTGAAGCTTTAATTAAAAAGCAAATGTCTCTCTGTGAAGGTTTTTAGTCACTAGAGTACCCTCAGTTTTGAAAGAACTGATCTCAGTATTTATTTGGCTCAGCTGCTGCTAATTTAATAGAGACTTTAAGGATTTCAGAAGAGCTGGGCTATATAAGGCCAAAATCCTATCTCACGCACCTGAAGGCAGGACAAGAAGCAATGGACGCAAAATAATCAAGGAGAGAATCAACCTAGAACAAAGGAGACAATTAGAACAATTAATCAGTGGAACAACCTGCCTCCAGAAGTTGTGAATGCTCCAACACTGGAAGTTTTTAAGAAGTGACTGGATAACCATTTGTCTGAAATAGTAGGGTTTCCTGCCTGAGCAGGGGGTTGGGCTAGAAGATCTCCAAGGTCCCTTCCAACTCTGTTGTTCTATTATTCAACCTGTGAGCAAGCGTGATGGAGAAATCCCAAATGCCAGATAGTATAACCTCAACCTTCCACTTATCTTCCCCAGGAACTGATACTGAGAGGCAATGGCAATTAGCTGCTGATATGGAAGTTAATATAGCAATTATGCCTACTATCCATGGAGCTCATGTTTTTGAAACCTTCTGACAAACAAAGGGGAAGCCAGATTCACTTAACAACCGTATTACTAACTTAACAATTGCAGTGGTTCATTTAACAACTGTGGCAAGAAAGATTGTAAAATGAGGCAAAATTCACTTAACTGCCTTTTGGGCTCAATTGTGGTTGTACATTGAGGACTATCTGCACTAATTTTATGGCCAACAGTATCAAATTTCAATTCTTTCAAGACACTGTGCTGATGGGACTCTCTCACTGCTCGCTGACATAAACCTGTATTTACCTTTTATTGAGGCAACATGCTTTGTGCTATCAAATGACAAGCTCTCAATCGTCAATCATTCAGACTCATAGGATTCGTTCGGTTTTTCCAAAATGCTTCTTAAAATGTTATATCCATGCCTCCTTAGAGCAGCAGTCAGCAGAAGTTTGATGTAGTTATTTCAATGTATGTGGCTGCCCATCTAAAGTTCATCACTCTGATTGATAGATATATTTTCTAAAACAGAGTACTAAACTAAGCTAACTTCAGCCATGTTTGAGAAACATGAAAGTCCAATTGCTTTGTGTTGCAGTCAGTCCTCCAAGAAACAGAGCTGGAGAAGATAGAGCAGCTGCTAAGTCAGGCCAACAGGCTAGAGGTCTTTATGAAGCCCCGCCAGGCCTCTTGTGGAATGAGTGGATTTCTATGATCCCAAATCATGATTTTAAATCCCATTTAGTCTGACTTATACTAAAACTGCCACTAAGAAGATTTAGCTGAGCAAGTGGCTGAGTGGAATAAGCATTTTGTGAGAACAAGACTAAAATGTTTTTGGACTGCATAATATTGCAGTCAGGATCTGAGGTGTCTTTCCTCTGTTGTAGATAGAAAACACCTCTTTGCCTTCATTTAGCAGTTGATCTACTCAGCATATAGACATCCAGTCTTCTATGCCCATCTACAATCTCCTTCTGCCCACCAATAGAGTTTTACCTATCAGGCCATCTTAAGCAGATTTTCAGGTACCTCTATAACAGGGGTCTTCAAATTTGGCCCTTTTATGACTTGTGGACTTCAACTCCCAGAATTCCTTGCCAGCGTGCCTGGCTGAGGAATTCTGGGAGTTGAAGTCCACAAGTCATAAAAGGGCCAGGTTTGAGGACCCCTGAGCATATTTCTTGGTGTGGGGGGTCTCCAAAGGGGAAAATCTGAAAGAGAATAAAAAAATTAATTCCTATGTTGATGACTTTGCTTTGCAAAGGAAAATTCCAGAGCAAAACCACAAAGAAATCTTACTTGAATGAAAATATCTAAAATGAAACTGCATATGTAAATTTCTTTTAAAAAGACAATTCAATTTCTATATTTTCCCCATGGATGAGAAAGACTGCATTAAGTGGTAGTGTTTGTACGGCAAAAGTGAAATGACCAAAATAAAGGACAAAAGTGAGTTTTTGTAACCTAAAACCAGCTTTGTGAAATAAAGAAGTATCGTTCGTCATAAAGATTTATGGTTACTGTAATCTGTAGGCACAGGACAATTTAGAACCCCAACCACATAATACTGTCTTTGTAACTCCCAAAATGGCTATAACTGTACGAAGTCTCTGTGTCATTCATACCGAACAAGTAAAACAGTTATTGGTTGATTTATAGATCTCACTAACAAAGTGATTTATTCAAAGTTGAAATATTGTAACAAGAAGCTGGTTTCTATTAAAAAAAGGAACATGTGAGGTGAGATCTATGATGTTCTTTCTTATTTCATCATTAACTTACAGGAAATGTAAGAATAATGATATTTGTGTAACAGCAAAATTAAGTTTACAGGTACTCTTCATTTTACGACCACAATTGAATCCAAAATTTCTATTGCTGTTTGTTGAGTGAATTTTATCCCATTTTATGACCTTTCTTACCACAGTTGTTAAGTGAATCATTGTAGTTAAATTAGTAAGACAGCTGTTAAGTGAATCTGGCTTCCCCATTGACTTTGCTTGTCAAAAGTTGCAAAAGGTGATCACATGACCCCAGGATCACATGACCCCAGGATAGTGCGCCCCTCATAAATATGAGTCAGTTGCCAAGCATCAGAATTTTGAACAATGACCATGGGCGATGCTGCAATGGTTGTAAATGTAAAAAATGGTCATAAGTCACTTTTTCCAGTGCCATTGTAACTTTGAATGGTCACTAAATAAACTGTTGTAAATCAGAGACTACCTGTACTTAGTTAATCTAATTTGGGGCATTTGTATAGTCCCTTGCACTGTAACTTAACCATGTAAGTTTGAATTGACTT